GATACACAGCACTGAAAAAAGGGACTTATGACCATTTCTCAGTTACAAGCCGTGTAGCATACCTATGATCGTGTGACCAAAATTCAGATGCTTGGCAACTGGTTCATACTTATGACCGTTCCTGTGTCCCAAGGTCAGGTGACCCCCTTTTTGCGACCTCTTGGTGAATAAAGTCAATTTAAGAACTTCAGGGTTTCACTTAACCAATGAGGTGAGAAAGGCCGTAAAATGGGGCAAAGCTCACTTAATGTCTGGCTTAACAAGAGAAATTTTGGGCTCCATTATGGTTGTAAGTTGAGGACTACCTGCATTCATGCGTTCTTCTTCCTGCTGGGAAATCCTTGTGAAGTCCAGCAGCCAGAATTTGTAGACTATATTTTGTCCTCAACTTATAACCTCAATTGATGTCCAAACTTTCCATTGTTGAGCGAGACAGTTGTTAAGTGACTTTTGTCCCATTTTATGACCGTGCCACCATCATTAAGTGAATCACTGCAGTTGATAAGTTAGTTAAATGAATCTGGCTTTGACTTTGCTTGTCAGAAGGTCAGCAAAGGTTTAGTGACTGTTTAAAGTTACAACGGTACTGAAAAAAAGTGACTTATGACCGTTTTTCACACTTACGACCATTGCAACATCCCCATGGTCACGTGATCAAAATTCAGACACTTGGCAACTGACTCATATTTATGATGGGGTTGCAGTGTCCCAGGTTATGTGATAACCTTTTGTGACCTTCTGATAGGTAAAGTCTATGAGGAAGCTGGATTCACGTAACAACCATGTTGCTAACTTAACAACTGCCATGATTCACTTAATAACTGTGGCAAGAAAGGTCATAAAATGGGGCAAACTCCCTTAACAACTATCTCACTTAGTGATGGAAATTTTGGGCTCTATTGTGGTCATATGTTGAGGACTACGTGTAATGCTTGTGTTCTGACCAAGGCACTAACATTACTCATAGACACTAACATTGAGACACTAACAAACGCACATTAATCTCAAAACCCTTGTTTCTTTATTTCAACGGCTGTGAATTATAGTCCTTCACAGCCCGTAATGAGTCTCAAACAGTTTGTAAAGAGTCCCATGGAAGCCTGCCAAAGTCCTTCAGGATAAGTCTGACAAGCACGCACCTTTATCTTCCTTGAAATGCTGCCAATTACTAAATTTCTAAATTAGTTATACAAGGCCAAACAGAGCACAAATTCAACACAGAGCTTCAGGTTTCAAACCAACCAGTACGAACAAAGTTGCTTCCTGCAAAGGTTCCTGTCCCTTTGCTCCTCCTTTATAACAGATAACAGATAATCAGAGTTGGGAGGGACCTTGTAGGTCATCTAGTCCAACCCCCACCCCACCCAAGCAGGAGACCCTACACCGTTTCTGACAAATGGCAGTCCAATCTCTTCTTGAAAGTCTCAAGTGATGGCGCTCCCACAACTTCCAAAGGCAACTTCTGTTCCATTGGTTGGTTGTTCTTACTGTCAGAAAGTTACTCCTTATTTCCAAGTAAAATCTCTCCTTGTTCAGTTTTCATCCATTATTTCTTATTTGGCCTTCAGGCACTTTGGAAAATAGCTTGACCCCCTTCCTCCTCTCTGTGGCAGCCCCTCAAATATTGAAAGATGCTGTCATGTCTCCCTTGGTCCTTTTCTTCTCTAGACTAGCCATGCCCAGTTCCTGTAACCATTCTCCGTATGTTTTAGTCTCCAGTCCCCTAATCATCCTGGTTGCTCTTCTCTGCACTTTTTCTAGCATCCTTTTTATAACGTGGTGAACAAAACTGGATGCAGTGCTCTAGGTGTGGCCTTATTAAGGCTTTATTGAGTGGCATTAGTGTCTTCCTTGATCTTGACTGTATCCCTCTGTTAATACAACTTAGGATTGGATTGGCTTTTTTGGCTGCTGCTGCACACGGCTGACTCCTATTTAGCTGGTTGTCCACTAAGACTCCAAGATGTCTTTATAGGAGGGCCAATCACCTCCAAGCCTTACTCCCGAGTCGCCCCTTTTGTCTTAACTGTTCTTGCCTTCTGGCAGCTCTGCACACACGCACACTGGGAACAGGCTCCCCTTGTTCCTCTGCCTCGCTGCTGTCGGAGGCTCCAGAGCACATAACTCCCAGGTGGCCCTGGCCCCATCTCTGTATTGGACGCAGGACCCTCGTCCGAGTCCTCTCCAGAGTCCTGGACTGGCCCATGTTCCTCCCCACTGTCCACAACAGTTTGTAAGATGGACAGTCATATCCATTTTCCAAATAAATAAACCAAGAAATCAATTAAAAAAAACCAGCCTCATTTATCTATTAAAAAAAAACACCTGGATCTATTAAAAAAAATCTCTATTAAACCTCTATTAAAAAAACCTCTATTAAACCTCTATTATTTAATTTTATCTATTAAAAAAAACAACCTCTCCTTAGGCATTGACTTTATGACACTTTACAACTTTAAACAAAACCATATCATTTACACCCAATAATGTAGGTTTAGAAACTTGTTTGATATTTGATAGATAATCCGTTTTATGCTATAGATAAATAGTTTCTGCCTTCTTTCTGGTTTTATTTCTCTGTTGGTTTTTGTTAGGTTTGTTATTAGATTGTCTTTCTTTGTTTTTCATACATTTTGCTTTTTTTCTCCATTTTTGGGGGATGGGGTGGGTTGGCTTATTTCTTTCTGTGAAAGCAAATAAATAAAGGCACTTAGAAATATTGCCAGACCTAGATGGTACCGAAAGTTAATTTGCAATCCTGGCTGATCACCACTTCTGCTAAGAGTCCTGCTTTTAAAGGGTTGAAGTATTTCATCGGAGACATTCGGTGTGTTTTCTCTGGCTGATCTTATTACTTTTTTCTCTGTTTTTGCAACTTGTGTAAAGATCACCCTGGAGGCCTCTCCTTCAGACACTGCCTCGAATGAAATCTCCTTAGCTTTATTATTTAATAAAACAGCAAGATTTGAGCTCCCCCAAGACTATAAAATGATAAGTCATGGAGAATTGGCAACCGGAGCGATGTGCCACTTTGACCCCTTACGTTCACAATTTATTGTTATAGAGCCAGAAGGTAAACTACTAAATGACAAGATCCTGGTTATAAATTACGAATTTGGGGTTTTCCTCCCGTCTATGAATTTATATCAGTGGGTACATCCCTCGCCCTCACACCCAAGTCAGGATTAGATTTTGGCTCCTTGGCAAGCAGATACGTGCCTGGCTGTGGAATTAAAAATAAAGTTTGGAACATTTGGAGGAGCACGAGTGTAATTATTTTAAAAAAATAATAGCTAAAAAAAGCTCTAATGTAAATTCTGGCAGCACAGGACTTAACATGCCACAATCATTACAAGCGCCATAAATAAAATTTTCCTTGTTCTCTATGACTCTCCCACTGCTATCTAAATATGGCCTGCAATCTGTACTCTTCCCTTTATTTCATGGAGTGACATTCAGCGGGACATACTGTATTAACCTTTCCAGGAAACACAAAACTATCCCTTGGCCCTTTGGTATATTCAGAGTCACTCTTCATCCCTCCTGGGCCCGAGTGCCCGAGGATGGATTTGGGCCAGCTGATCTTTGGCGGCCTTCAAACCTATTTTTAAAAACCAGGGGTGTTTAGACAAGAGGGCATTAAAAATGCACAGTGCCTGTGCTCTCTATGGGGATAGAAAATTAAACGATCCTTCCTTCCTTCCTTCCTTCCTTCCTTTTATCTTTCTGTCTCTCCCCCTTTCTTCCTCCTCCCCTTCCCTCTCTCCCACGATGCAAAACTAATTTATTCAACAGCACCATTTCCGTGGAGCTAATAGGTTGGCCTCCTTTAGCAACTGACTTGCTTAGTGACAGTCTGTGCAATTACGATGATGATAAGAAAGTCATTTTTTAATAGCTGGGTTTACAAGTTTTGAAAGCCTGTAAAGCAGAGCAAAGCTGTAGGATCGTAAGCACAGTAGTGGTTTTCCTTCCTCCCTACCCTTCCTTCCCCCTCCCTCCCTCCCTCCCTCCCTCCTTCTTTCCTTCCTTCCCCCTCCCTCCCTCCTTCTTTCCTTCCTTCCTTCCCCCTCCCTCCCTCCTTCTTTCCTTCCTTCTCCCTCCCTCCCTCCTTCTTTCCTTCCTTCC